TCTCAGCACCAAAAGTGAGGATGAGGCATTTGAAACTTGGGATATATATGGATATATAAGAATGTTTTCTTTGCAAGTACTGCATCAACTTCCAACACCGGTATTGAGGATCAATGGGTGTTCCTTGGCCTCAATTGCTGCCGAAATCTGTGGTTCCAAGTGATTTTCCAATCTGGTGACCCACACCACAATCTGGTGACACTCAATCTTCAGGAAGACGGTCTTGTTGAAACTCGCAATCTGGAGGAACCAATTCTTAACCCCTTCCTCTGCTATACTAGGCCTGTGCAATTCAAGAGTGGATGGTTTGAAATGACAAGACTAGTCCTTACTTTGGTCAATACCAAGATCCGACAGTTCAAATATGTTGGTCGGTACACTGCATGGAACTTAGGCCACAAAATCATGCATTAAAATCCTGGCGATTCTTCACCTCCCAGGATTTAGATCCTAGCGAGACCCGTGGCGCAGGCATTTAACTGAGACCATGATGAGATTGGGTGAATTGGATTTTACAGAGTGGTTGAGCTCAGTTGGGCCAAAAATCACTGGCCAAAGAGAGCAAATTGCTGCTTTCCTTCAAGCTGTGTGTGTGTGTGTCAAGTCGGCCAAAATCTAGTTGGGTTGTTTCACATTTTCACATCCTGTTGACTTGTCATCATGATGTTCCATGATTGAAGCCTCAACTGACAAGCACATTTTGAGTCCCGGTGGCTCAATCACAAACCCAATAGAATTTGTTGAGACACCATTTTTTTGTGGTAAATATCCCAGTTTTTGGTTAGCGATGTCCCACTTACACATTGCTTGTTGCATGGTTGAACCTACCCACCAAGTAGTTGTGAAATTTGTTTCTTGGTTCCATAGCATGTTTGATCACAGAATGTGCTTTGAGTTGATTTTTCCAGCTCAGATCACCACTTTTTTTGGTTCCTTTTCCAATCACTTAACGCTTTGCGAAGTGAAAAAAACCTCCATTTTTAGGATTACCCTGTGGTTATGACTCACGTAGCGAACTGGAAAATCACCATTTTGAAGAGGTAAATCATCATGGGATCAATGGGCCATGGTGTTTCACCGGGTGAGGTCATCCTTGATCCTCGATATCCGTCGAAACAGCAGGAGACCGGGATGGCGGGATAGCCACTGAGTCCCAGATCAATTCATCGACGACTACTCTCCACATCATATCAACAAAAGAAGTCATATTTTTTATAGCTCATGTTGGAAAACTATAGAGGCTTTCCTTTACTGAGTCAAGTTGAACAGTTACCGAAGGGTATATATTAGCCTATAGAACTGGGCAGGCCAACTGGCAAATCGTTGGTTTGGTTGAATGTTTCGGGCAAATTATGGAGAACTTGTACAACATCCCAAATGACAGGTCAACAGAATTTGGTTCTTCTGGGTGGTTCTGTTTGCCATCCATCGGCTCTGGCATGACGATGAAGACCTATTGATAGGTTATTGAAGTGAACTTGGAAAATCTAGATGTCCACACGTCTCTGACTCCCTGTGATTCCCATTCCTTTGGATCCAGAATGGTTTCCAGAGGCGTGTTCGAGTTCGGGAAGTTTTAAATCTTCAGCTGGCGTCCGAATGCCCCAGCCGGAAGGGATGGAGCTGAAACCTGTCAGGGGGATGGATCGCTAGATCATGTTACATCCCATCAACCTGGGTTCCATATATGGGGGATCCCCAAAAATGGATAGTTTATTTCATGGAAAATCCAAAGATAAAATGGGATGATAACTAAGGGTACCCCCATTTCAAGAAATCTCCATATGCTGGTTGATGGTTTCGATCTGTATTCTCGCCATCTCTACATAGAAACATGCCTCCAACACGCTCGAACTGTGACTCCTGTTTTTTCGGATACGACTTGATGCCCGTGGCGACCCTTGTCATGGGTGCCATCCAAATTTTAGCCATTTTGGAGATCAAACCTGGCGCGACTGTGCCCGGCTGTGCTAATGATGGAGCAAGTGATTCTGCACTTTTCGGTGAAGAATACTTTCCTTGACGTTCGCCCTCTTGAGGACGAGATGTAGCAAGTGTCATTCTGAAGATCTGATGTCTTTACTGCTAGATTCTTAGAATCTATCGGAAGAATACGTAGGATATCTATCACGAATCTGTAAGACAACCAAGCGATTGCAGAGTGTACGAAACTCGATGAAACTCCTTTTCTTTGGGTCGTTGGGCCGAGACAATCGCGACTTGGCAACCTGTGCCTTGTTGAGGACGTTCCCCCGATTCCACGGAGAAAATCCTGGAGCTCGGGGGATACGGGGGATCCCACGGAATTCATCCTCGGTCTCTCCAAGGTCGCGAATGGACAGGAGGTTACCCAGGAGGTTACCCAGGAGGCCCAGAATCTGCCAGAGATCCACGAAGATCAAAGCCCTAGCCAGATGCTGGCAAAACATCGCACTGGTAGATGCAAACCATGCGTGTCTGGGTGATTGTTTAGAATTGTTTAGAGTCATACAGTCATACAGTCATACAAGGCTTTATTTTTTGGTTGCTCAGAAAATAACAGCGACTTTACTCAACATGTTTAAGAAAAGGCTGAAGGTTTAGCTGGCAATCAGCAGATCAGCAACCTCGATGAGCTATGCAGCTATGACGACCTCACTGGTTCATGTTGCCATGGCCAGATGTGTTAGTAACTCAGCCAAACCCAGGTGTTTTTTGCAAGCGTTCATGGATGCCCGGATGCCGCATGCAGTTTCTGCCACTTGGCTCATCGACCTCCTCCGAAGCAGCGACCGGAAAAGCAGCTGCGGAATGTGTTCAAAGCGGCGGTGCAGACGGTCTTTCAGATGGAGGACGTGACAAGCCAAACGAAAGATTGAAATGATGGCATTGATGGCTTTTTCCAGGGGAACTCTCCCAAAATGGTGAAACTTTTCAGGTGACATATTGTTGAATTTGGACTGATATGGCTCTCTGGAAATGGCATGGGTCAATCGATAGTTTCAATCAGCTCTCCATCGGGTGAATACATCTATGTAAGCTGGCTCATCTATTCGTGAGGGTTTTGCCCCATCCCCCAGTTTTTTTTGAGGGGGAGCTGTACACTGTTCCAGCTGTCACATGTGTTACTGAAGTTTCATAGGCCATGATGTTCTGGATTCTCATGGGTAGTGGATGCAGTGAAGGCTTGTGAATGCTGTTTCTGATTCCACACTTCGTTGTACCATGGACACGATGGAGACGAAAAACAGGTACCTGGTTTCCTATCAGTTCGGACGACCCAAAAAAAATTGCTAGTTGTCCCCATCGAAATTAGATTACAAACGCTGCTTTAGCACAGTCGCCATTCGCTGAATAAACATCCGAGGTTTTTTCTGATTTCTGCAAGACAAAAACTAGAGGACCACCAAGCGTTGCGCCTGGCCCTGAAAAACTTGGCACCGCAACACCCTTACTTGCACTGGTACATCATCGGACAGATGGACATGTGTTTCGGCAAAAAGCAGATAGAATCTGCCAGAAGGTCATTGTTATTCACTGTTCGATTTTTGAGGGTTTTATTTCTGTTAGTTTGATAGGTCACCGCTGGATTTTTCGGGGGTCAAGATGTGCTGTTTACCTGGAGGTATTCACAGCGCGTCGTTGCCAGCCGCGAGCTTCATTGACAGATCGCCGCGAGCTTAGGGTTTGACTCGTTTGACGATTGTCTCAGGAAGTCTCCAGATCGCGGAGGTTCAAAGTTTTGTGGCCCTTCGGTGCTTAGTCGGACAAGAATGAAGCTTCATAACCCTCATAGCCTTCAATCATTTCAATCTCCAGTGGAAGGTTGATGAACTTGGGGTTGCCAAAATATGGTGCACCTGCAAGATCCTGCAAGTCTTTTGAATTGACTAAGGCATCTGTTAGAAATGAGGCTTTCCGAAGGTTGGCCGTTAGTCCGCCAACAGTGGCGTTGCCGAAAAGGCCGTCGCTGATGGTGTGGTTTGCTAAGCTATCCCATGGGTCTTGTTGGGGACCGTGGAGAGGCTTTCCCTGACAATGACAGACATCCTTTCCCTATCAACTTCCAAAGGCATTGGAAATTTCCGTTGGGGAAGCTTCCTGGGTGCCATCAGATGCCATCAGTTTCGAGGCTGCCCGATCCTTTTTGCTACCTCTTAAGACATGATACGGCTGGAGCATTGAAAAAAAATCAATGAAAATCAGCTGTCCATTGAGATGTGGGGATGGGTCAAACCTCTGGTGCCTAGTGAACCCCAAAATAGCTGGTAAATGGATGTTCATCCCGCTAAAAATGATATGAATATTGACCCATACCCATGTGGCTGTGCGACGGGAGCGGTACCTCATCCAAACGGGCGATCCTGCGCGCCGTCGCCGCAGAGCCCTGTTCGATCAGAGGGTCAAAAGCTGGAGCTGCCTGGAGTAATCTAAGGTTCCCCCTTTTATCGATGTATAATATGTTATTAATAATATAGATGTATCCAATACTCTATATATATATATATATGTACTACCGAGAGAGAGAGAGAGATACATATGTATAGATGTAATACATAAAGTGTATGTGTATATATATATATATACGTGATATCTTTTATAGATGTAATATATGTACATGTATATCTACTTTACCCATTGTCGTTTGTTGCGTCTCATTCTTGGTGCCCGTCATCGTTGTCTCTGGAGTGTCATTCTTTCTACCCAATGATTTTGTTGCTGAATTCACCATGTGCCATTGAAGGTCCATGGCTGACTTTGAACTCCCCAAACTTCATCCATGACCATGACCCAAATTTTATGAAGATGTGTCCTTTTCTCCAACAAACTTCTATGTTTCACTTTGTGGCATTGTGGATGATATTCGCCTAAGATCTCCAATACCACTACCTTTTTCGATCCCTCGGTCTCAGACTATCGAGATCTCCCAATAGGCTGTTTGCCCCAAGTCATCGCACTTTTCAAGATACTTTTGGAAAAATAGTCCGACTTCCAAACCATGAGGATTTGGGGATACCGCCATGTCCTGCAGGTTCTGCCGCCTGGCACGGGGCATCAGCACCTTCGCGCGCTTCGTCCCAGAGACGGTGGTTCGGATGGCCCAGTGTTTCTGTCATGGGGACGTTCCGTTGGTGTCATTGTTGTCATGGAGATACCCCACGGATCATCCATTTCATCCATTTTTTGTTGGGATTTGATGGCATTGTCCAATTTGTTGTTGGGATTTTAGTTCGGATTTTCCAACTTGTTGTTCGGATATTTGTGCGGATGTTCCATTTGCAACCATCCATTTTGAGGAAAAAAAATGTAAATCATCCATTACACTTTGTTGGGAATTTCCATGAACTAAACCAGCTACTAAAGCACCCATTATGATTTGGAATTGTCCATGAAATAAACCATCCAGCTGTTGAGGTACCCCCATTTAGTACCCCCATTTATGGAAACCATCAACTGGGCGAGTGACCGGCAAGAATTGGTGAAATTACAGAGATTACAGAGATGATGACCCGTGAAAGTAGAATTTGGAAAAGATGTTTGGCAACAGCTGGGATTTTCCTTGTGAATTTGGGAAATGAACAGAACAAACAGCTGTTTGGATCTGAATATCGGACCAGGAATTTGATCCGTGCTGGATGAGCAATAGATAACCAGTGAGGATACACATGTGGAACAACACTTTGAATACAAACAATGATAGCTACGATTTCTAGGTGGTTTCAATCTTGCTTTTGCTTTACAAAAAACTCGACGATTTTCCCGATGCTCGATGTTCCGATTTTCAGCACCAAGGTTCGCAACATCGTGATGAATGGCGAGGGGAAGGGGACCCGCCTTGAGGTGCGGCATTTTTCATAGATAGATGGTAAATTGGTAAATGGATGTTCGAATATTTTGGAGCCAAGGCTTTCTGAAAGCTTTTGCAAAAATGAATAAAAATGATCCCGGATTCATTGCCCACCATGCACGCAGGTTTCCAGACGCATGGTCACAATTATGCCCATGCCTCGGGCAGCAAATGTTGATGCCTTTTGGAGTAACAGCGTCTTCCCCCATCTTTCACTATACCAGAGCCCCTTGTTGAATGCCTGAGCCCAACAAACTGTAGGTTGAAATCGGGAAATCCCAACAAGCCACTTCTAAGCATCATAATCTTTCACCATCAATAATCACTATAAAAACCATTGTTAACTACTATTAATCACCACTAACCATAGAACATCTTGGGGAATTTTATGCCCTTCGAACCATCGAACCGAGGTGCACGGACATTAAAGGCTTCACCAGCATCTCTGAACGATTGCGACCGCACCCTGGCCGCCATGGCCACCATGGCCCGGCAACGGTGGAGTTCCATCGGTTTTTTCAATGGGAAAGCCCCGGAGGGAAAAATCATTGAACTATGGCGGATTTTCCACAAAAGCTTGGCCAAATTGAGGGTAAACCGCAAAAATCCGTGGATGAACTTGTGACTAATCTTGAGTGTGGATTTCATACCAAACTGAGCAATAGCCAAGAGTTCAGTCACCTCGGAAAACTCTTCGGACTGACTCTGTTAGTTATATATATATTCTTATTTTGGCCACATTTTTTAGCTCACCTTGGCCTTGCTACCAAATTACTTGGCGCGCTCCGAAGCATGTTTTTAGCGTGTCTGAGCAGCTCTAGAAGCTGTTTGTATAGTTGTTGTCAAGCCCTTCACTGGTGAAGGGAAGACACAAAATCAATCAAGATCTAAAATGACATCAGCCATATGACGGTCGCTGCTATCTCATATCCATGTGTTGAACATCAAGGTGCAACACCCAAGGTATAGCTCCAAAGTTCAGGCCCTAAACCTGCAGAGTTTTGCTATTTTTGATGTGAAACCATCCCAACACATGGACGAAACTTGCCCTGAACCCATCTTTTCTTCAGCAAAATCTGCCACCGTCCGAGGCGTGACCTGCTGTACATGCTCATGCGATACTTTTCGGTGCGCCTGGCACTAGCAACGGAGATTGCCATTTTGTTGGATGATAGAGCCATGGAAATCCCCGAATGTTGAGATGATGTTCCGTGTTTTCCTGTTGAACATGGAGAAGTTCCTTTGCTGTGTCTGGATGGGGCGATGGGGGAGGTCCCATGGATGACCCCCCTTTTTTGGGGCACCGGTCGAAACATCTTCAGATTTCGAAACATCTTCATATGTCCCAATTCCAATAGATTGTCAGTTTCCCTATTGAAATGGCCACCTCTGTATCCCCTTCAGAGAAAGTCAAATACATGGCATCGCTGTTCAGGTCATGATGCGTGTAGTGGAGCTCTATGGAGGTGCACTTTGTCGATGCTGAAGCTGGTGGTAAAAAAAGCCCCAAAATTGCCCAAAAGAATAGGGAATATGATGAGTGACCAATGGATTTTAGGAATACGCCATCAAAAGCCAACAAATATCTATACTTGGATGGACTGATACGCCAATTTTTGAAACCCGGCGGCCTGTTCTTGCGGGATTTTGGGTTTCTCTTGGGCTTCCAGCTGTTGAATTTCAGGGGTCATCGCCGCTTTCCGAAGCCCCCCCGGTGTAAACGGATCTGATTTTTCATACAAGGGAAGAATCCCATGGGTCAATCAGCACCCTTGTGATTTCCAGATGTTGCAGGGTTAAACATCACTTGCGGTGGTAAAATAGAAGTGTTTCGACCAAAAAGTTATGTTTATCAAGTGATGAAAAGGAAGGCAGGCAAAAACACTATTGGTCAACCAGGGGTTCGTATGCTTCTCAATTTTGGTGGTTTCTAACATCACTTTGGTGCTAGAAAGCGTGGTTTCCTCCCAAAGTGATGTTTCTTGCAGAAATATGAGGCTAGAGCTTCAAAATCATTGAAAAAAAAGATGATTCAAAAAATTGCCTAATTAAGTCTACTCAAAATTCAACATTTTTCAATGTCGTGGGTCCATGATCCCTTAGGTCGCCAGGCAGAATTCTGTCAGGTATTGTGTTGGAGATCTTGGGCGATGGTCTCATCGTGTTTTGGAACGCACCTGACACGGTGCGGGAGCCCACTTTTCGGATCCAACTGGAGTCCTGGTTAATTGTGGATATGGATGGGATAAATCATCTATAAATCTTATAGATAACTATGGATATAGCCTCTAACCTCCAAATAGAGCTGCGTTTTGTCATACCCCAAATCATCCAGTCGTCATGGACATTTGAGCTGAGGGGAGCCATGGGCCAAGGTCGAAGATCATCCAGGTAAAGCTTGTGCAGCAGCGCTCACACAACTTGAGGTGATCTGGGAGGGTAGAGAGCAGAGGCCTGATCAAAATCTCAGGAAAAATATCGAGATACCCAGTAGATCCCTGTGGAATCTAGGAAACAAGACATAGCCAGAAGTGCCCAAGAAAACCATACAATGTGGGTAAAACAATAATAAACCACCCATTTGGGATGGATTTTATACCACCTAATGATGGTGATTTGGGGGATGGCCCATATTAAACAAATAGAAAGTGATATTGACATCAGTGACCATCCAGAACTAGGATCTCGTGCCAGCAAGCCAACCAAACTGATACTAGAAATGGTAAGAAACTTCAGGGGATGTTATATGAGTGGTTAGCCCCTTGGAAACTCTGAGGAGTTGTCGTTTTTGCTCCAACTGCCGGTTGGATAAGGGACCGCTGAAAAAATCAGCACAGATATCATAAATATCTTGACCCTTACAAACATAAGCAGCAACAATATATGGGAAACCGTTGATTCAAATGTTGCATCACTAAAGCGCTGCCAGGTTTTTTTGATGATTTCAAGTACACAAAAACAACAGATGAAGCCTTCCTATGGGTCGCAGGGGTCGCACGGGACGCAGGCCCTTTCAGGCTTGAATGGTGAGTACGGCGTGTATGCCACTGGGCCCAGTCGGGATGATATCTCCGTTGATCCCGAAAAAGTGCGACATTTTTTTCTACAAGTGAAAGGATACTATTTGGGATACCCAAATCCCAAATCGCTATGGATTTCCATTTGTAGCTATGGAATGCTATGGAATGCTATGGAATGCTATGGAGCTCAGTTTTAGTTCGAGATCTCCCAAGACTCCCAAGCTGAGGAGCTCCCAGAGCTGTCGATTCGCATTGGCATCCACACAGGGTGCCTCCTGGTTGAGCATGGTAATCCCACGAAAGAAATGGCGGAAGTGGAGATCATGGCACGCAACCTACTTGTAAGTGTCAAGATGTAGGATATAGATGCCCTAATCACAAACAATTTGTTACAATCGTTACAGTAGCTTAAAATCATCCAGTTGTAACTCGGATTTGGCCTTAGATGGAGTAATAGCTATGGTTATAGACAAGTTACGCAGCGGATAAACTAGTTGGGGCACGTACGAACCAGGGATGTAACCAGAGGTCGTTGGATCCGGTTGCTGTTTTCGAAATAAGTTCCAGAAACTGGGACCACGAATTATCTGGGAAATGCATCCATTAAAACCAAAGGATATGAACTACAGGATTGATGAGTGCATCTTTGATGATATGATATCAACTAACACAATCATCAAAAATATCAACTATGGCATATGGGGCTGGTTGAAATACATTGAAACTCCAGGAAAACTCTTCAATTCAACGGTCGGTGAAGCTCTTTTTTCATGGTGACTTTCCCCAGCATCTCGCCCAATGGCCCTGGAACCCTCGGGTGTTTCCAACTTCAGGTCGTTATATTTTTTGACATGTCGTAAGGGTGAATGGTGATTCATGTAGTCCCTTATTTGATGAAAGAAAAACTATCTTCAAACATCCACAGATCGACCACGTTCACAACATGTGTAACTTGAAGAACCTATACCCTCTGGTAATTTAACATAGCTATTGAAAATGGCCATTTATAGTGGATTTTCCCATTAAAAATGGTGATTTTCCATTGCTATGTTAGTTTACCAGAGGGTATCCCACCAAAAAGCCATCAATATCCCCATCTCTTCAGCCACGAAGCCAGGTCCAGCTTAGTGGGCAACATTGGAAGTGAGTCGCACCTCGGAACGATGGAAAAGCCTACCAAAAATTCATGGTAGATTTTAGATATTTCGTGGTTTTTGAATGGTAAGTTTGATGGAAAATCCATGTAAATCTCATGTTTTTGCCATGTTTTGCCTCCGCCATCCTGATCATCCTGGCATTTTCGGTGGCCACCAAGGAGGATGAAGTATGGATGTCCAACACCCGGCGGTGGGTTGGTTCAACCAGTGCTGGTGGGTCCGAACCAGGTAGCAGAAGATGTCCTTTTCATCACCAAGGGATCAACAAGGTCACATATCAGATCATGTTTCAGCTTAACGTTTACAGACATGTTTTTCTACACCTACAGATTAGGCAGTTTATCAGGTATGCAGATGCCATTTCTGCCATTTCAGATTCGATCAAGCTTCGATGTGATTCAAGCTTCGATCGCCGAGGTTTGGGCGATACCAAGCAGGTCGCCATGAAATTAGAGGCACCTCTCGGGGGAAAGAGTGACACTAGAGGCGAGCACACAAAACAGGGACATCGGGAGAGTGTTAGCAATCCCTGGTGGAGAAATTACAACACTGCCGTCCTGGGATGTAGATGGACATCAATTGCAGGACACGCGATGCGCTTTCAACGCTGAAAGAGCGCCAATTCTATGGCAAGTGTTTGCAAAGCATAGTGCTCTCATTTGCCATGGATCCTTTACATGAACTTTTCATGGCTGATATGTTTGCTGTGACTTTGGGTATCGTCCGGGAGTTTCAGTCCAGACATCATCATCATCACCATCACCATCATCATCACCATCATCGCTACTCGAAGATTTGAGATCTGTAATACCTCGTCTGTCTCTGAAAGTTGCAGGGGATAGCCCAGCGTGCGGCCGCAGGATCTCTGCAAGTACTATGGGGTCGACGTTATTTGTTGGACACTGAGTCAAGAGGCTCCAGCAGTGCTCGTGAACACCTCCCTGGTCCTGCTTCGAGATGTTTTCCATTGCTACTTCCAATGATGGCTGACCGATGCCTGTGATGTTGGCTAGAAGAATCTCTTGAGTTGTTTGCATGGAGACTTTTGTGAAATGAATGATGGCCGCAACTTCTACTTCCAAACAAGAATGAGTATTTATATTTATCAGGGCACAACGCTCAGAAGAGGTTTTCCCAGATCCGTGATCAAATCCAAGTAACATGCCCACTTTGGAAATTCCTTCTTTTTTCTCTAATCCCATTGGCCTGATTGGATCTATGTTGTTTGCGCCTCACTGCAACAAGTTGCTGTTTGATTGTTTGATTGTTTGTAAATCTTGTCATGTTCGAATAGTTCATATCTCATGATTCATTTCAGTTGTTATCATTGAACTGGCCAAGCAGATTATGAAACTTTGATCATTACATTGTGTCATATTCATTCATGTGATGGTTGTTTTAGATATAGCTATGTATACAATGATATTTAAAAAAAAATCTGTGTGCATCAGCTGAAGCAGCAAGAACCGCATCACGACAAGTTGTCATGAGGTTCCAGCAGCACAAAGAACATGACCATCCCGAGCAGATTTTTCTTCAGGGAGCTCGACTACGTGCAGGCACGACTTCGACGACTTCTGGGACGAATCATGGCAATGCCGGTGATCATATACCCTCTGGTTATGACTAACATAGCCATGGTATAGATGGCCCATAGAAATAGATGGTTTACCTAATAAAAATTGTGATTTTCCATGGCTATGTTGAATAACCAGAGGGTAGATGTTATATAGAAAGGATCCACAACTGGATACATTTTCAGAATACTGCAATGCAGTACTGCAATGAAATAGCGGGCTTTTGGTAGGATCATGCACTGGATAGTAGCTGCTGCTGGAGATCGTGAGTCTCCATGACTATACTGGAGTTCTCCCGTAACGGGGCAGAAGTAGGGTTACTAACCATCTACTAAGCAGGATGATCTTCATTCCAAGTAGCCGCTGAGAATGGCGCGGAAATCTATGCCTTTCAGGAAAATCATCGCAATTCAATTTCCACAAGATGTGCATGTTTCATTGGTAGATTGGGAATTGACGTAAGTTCAAGTGCGATGCTTGTTGCCAGGTTATAAAATCAGCTTGGGGATCCACATGTGCTTGGATGTTCACATGATGGCATTTTGCAATCAACAAACCGGCCCTGAAAAACTTTGCAGTTTAGTGGACACCTCAAGCACCTCAAGCTTGTCAGAATTTCAAGCTGCTGTGGTTGCAGTGGTTCAACCCCATGAAGCTGCTCCAAAACCACAGTGTCAATCAGCTCTGGCCCAATTGGTTGGAGTTGCACCGTTGCCAGTTGCAGCCTGATGCGG